GGACCTTCCTTTAGCATGTCTTTGTTACGGAGTGCGATTATCAGTCTTAGTTTGGGAGCAGTATTGTCTCAAAGTTGACCAAAACAGTCACAACGATTTTTCTAAGACATTTGCGACCGTTTTGATCGACTTTGAGACAATACTGCTCCCAAACTAAGACTGATAATCGCACTCCGTAACAGAGGCATGCTAAAGGAAGGTCCAAAGACCAATTGCCCGTTTAGGGAGGACGAAATACCGCCTCGGATCAGACGCAGTGGCTGCTTAAAATCGACCCCAAAACACGATTTTTCAAAGACATTTGTGACCGTTTTGATTAACTTTGCGGCAATACTGCTCCCAAGCTAAGGCAGATAATCGCACTCCGTAACAAAGGCATGCTAAAGGAAGGTCCAAAGACCAATTGCCTGTTGAGGCAGCAAAATGCCCGCCTCGGATCAGACGCAGTGGCTGCTTAAAACCGGCCCAAAACACGATCCCAGCTACCTCGCCGCGACCCCTTAAAAAAATTTTGGGGTCGCGACCCTAAGCTTGAGAACCACTGCCCTAGCCCCAGCCAGCCTGCGTCAGCCTGCACTCGGCAGGGTAGGCAGGCCCGCTGCCCTCGCGTGTGTGGCCGGGCAGCCTGGCAGCCTACCCCCCAGGCGTTCTGCAGGCCGGGTCGCAGGGCGCTGCAGGGCGGCCGGGCTGCGCCAAGTGGGCCTCCACGCGAAAAAGGGAAAAATAAAGGAAGACCAGCCGATGCCGGGACGGAAAAGGAAGGGTCGTTGCTCAACGGAGGCCATCTGCATGGCGCCCAGCGCGCCCAGCAGACTGATTCCGAGAGCCGTTTTTCGTCGCCCTGTCTTCCTCGTACCTGCCCGGGGCGACGCCTTGTGAGTGCGAGAGACGGAGCGGCGGAGCGGCGAAAATGACTCTCGAAATGAGTGTGCAGAGCGGCAGAGTGGCTGCTGCACACACAGTGCCACGCGGAGGCCGGAGGGGTGCTGCCGGGCCGGGCGGTGCAGCGCGGTGCAGCCTGGCGCAGCCTGCACTGCAATTTCCCCTCGCCGCCTCGCTCCGCCATTCTTTTCTGGCTGCTGCACTTCTGGCGGCGCTGCGCTCACTTTCCTTGCCGGCCGCTGCGCCGCCTGCGCCCTAAAGGAGGATGTGCCCCGGCGAGGGGAAGGGAGGAGGCTCGAGTGGCACCGGGGAGCACGGAGCACGCAAAGCCCCTCTGTTCGGAGACCAAAAGGGCCGCCCGCCGCGCCGTCGCCGCGCCCTCGGACGGACGGAACGAAATGCATTTCCCTCCTCGAGGGTCGTGTGGAGGGGGGGGGGAGGAGGGGACGTCCGGGGGCGCCGCGGCCACGGCACCACTCCGCGCGAAGGACGCTCGTCGCGTCGATTCGGCTTGAAAAACCGCCACCGCCGTGCGCCGTGCGCCCCGCCATCGTCGTTATCGCCATCGCGCCCAGCCCGATGGCGGCAGGATAGCGGCGACGAGGCGACGCCGCCGTCCAAAAGTTTTCAAAGACGACCCCCTTTTTACCGCGGCTAGTTCTTTTTTGCGCCGCCGAAGTGCGCGGTGGCCGAGGCCGGCCGAGGCGGACTGGCCGGGGCAGCGCGGCCGCTCGATCCTAACGAACGCCGCGTCCGGGGCCGACGGCAGTGGCGGATCCAGAGCCGGCCTGAGGGAGGGGCGAAGCGGCACTTCTTGCACTAAACAGCGGCAAAGAGTGGAGTGTTTCCTGCCTTACGGGCGGCTAGCTCGGGCTAGCTAGAGGCCAAGGGGGCACAGTTGTACTTTTGCCCCCCTACCCTCCCCCGCGCCCTCTCTGCTATATGAGGGTAGGACTCTAGATGAGGGCGGCGGCGTCTCGGCGGCGTCTTGAGCCGCGTCCTCGACGGCGTCCTCCAGCGTGCCGCTGACGTCGCGGAGTGCGGCCGCGCGCTGCAGCGCCGTAACAATGACTCGTTCATCACTCCATCTCATCTGAGGTTCGGGGGGCGCGGCGGCGGTGACGAGCACGGGACGGCTGCACGGCGGGCGGACGGACGGACGTGGAGGAGGAAGGCAAGGCGACGACGACTTTTTCCGCAATTATTACGAGCACGTGAATGTGGATGCTGGTGGGGCTGGCGGCTGCAGGCGTGTGCACGGGCATGCAGTGCCGCGCCGAGCCGCGCCGTGCCGCGCCCCCAGTGGGCCGGCCTAGCCTAGAGGCGAGCCCAGAGGCCCGGGCCGCTCCTGTCTGGAGGCCTGGAGGCCGTCACCATGGAGACGGGGACGAGCTGGTCTCCGTGCCGTCACGCGCCTCATGCCGCGACGTTAACGCGACGCTAAAGTGTCGCGCCGCTTCGAGTGACTGCAAAAGGGAAAGGGGCGACGTGAGGGACGCACGCGGTGACACGGCCACGGCGTCCCTGAGTCCGTTCCGTCGCGTCGCCGTGTCGCGAGCTGGGAACCTCATGTCTCAACCGCGGGTTGACTAAACGTCGTCGGCGCGGTTTACAGTGGTGCAGCGTCATGGACAAGCCTTGTCCGCCACAATTAAGCATTAAGGCTTGCGGTGGGCGATCGCTTGGCTCCTCGTGGGCCTCGCCGCGATTGCTCAAGCCGCGGCCCGCGGTGGACGAGCAGCACGGCAGGCTCGCTCTGTCTCTCTCGCACCCGAAGCCGTACCCATGAGTGCGAGTGAGAGAGACCGACGGCGACGGCGCGGTTCGAAATCGGCCTCAGCGTGCACCGCGGCGCACTCCTCGGCGCACCGTACGGCCTAGGACGAGGACGGCCCGCGCCCCGCCGCGGGCTCAGCCCCGCTCAGCCCCGCTCAGCGCCGCGCGTGTTCGCGTTTTGTGGGTCCCACAGTCCCGCGGTCCCGCGGGGATTCCGCTGCGGTTTGATTAAAGAAACATTTCCTTTGTCCCGCTGCGCTGCGCACACCGCTCCGCGCCCTCGGCAGCACGCTGAGAACGAAGAGAGACATGACAAAATGTTTCGGAAAGAAAGATTTATCACCCAAACTGGGGCGAGGAAGATTTTAACGCCGATCACCTGGTGTCAAAATACTCCCTGCCAAAGTGTGGGTGGCTCAATATACGGTCCGGATCTTGACTCGCTGGTTGTGGGCCTGTGGTGGCCTGCGTTTCCGAATTCCGGTTCCGCGGTGCGGAGGCGGATGGCCCGGCAGGGAAGCTCCGCGGCCGTGAGGCACGGCACGGCACTGTAAGGAGACGCCGAGACTCCCCCGCGTAATTGGAGCGCCATTGCGTCATCGTCACCACCGCCTCGCGCCCAAATACTTTCGCCGCGACGAAAGAGCGAAAGAGCGAAGCGCGTCGCGCCGGGCGGCATGGCATGCTTGGGCGTGCTGCAGGGCCCCGCCCCGCCCCGCCCCGCCTCTTGCTGGGCGGCACCGGGCGGCACGCTCCGCGTCATAATAGTCGCCGCCATAATGACGAGCTTCAGCTTAGCGCAATTAAGGGCCGCCGGGTTATCGCGTTCCGGTTTCAATTTGAGACCCACGCCGTCCTTGTTGTTGTTGTTGTTGTTGGCGACGCGTCCCGCTAGGCGCTGCCGGCGCTGCTGCCGCCGCTGCTGCATGAGGCGCGTGGCCGCGTGGAGCGCGTGGACTAGGGCTGACCGATGTGGACCGTTACACGTCAAACAGTTAGTCGTCCATAGCGTTGCGTTGCCCTGGCGTTGCCCGGGTGTTGCCGGCCGACCACGTGACTTTGGTTCGCACCGGCCTGCCGCTCGGCCGACGGCCTGGAGGCACCTCGAGGGGGGCCGCCCCCTCCCCCTCCCCCTCTCCCTGACCGGCCCGCATTGCACTAGACGCGCAACAAGTCCCACTGCACGACGGCCTCCATGTTCTCGCCGTTCAATTTGACGTAACCCGGCCGGCCCTTTTCGCCGCCGCCCTATTGGCCGTCACGGAGTGCTCGGAGTAAGGGCTGGGCGTCGCGGACTGCGGCCCCGCGGCCCCGACTGCCGGCCCCCCAAGCCGCAGTGCCGTGCGCCGTGCGCGGCCAAGCCATGGCCAAGCCATGGCCAAGCCATGGCCAAGCACCGGCCAAGCCATCCACGGCCGTGGGGACGGAATCACCTGGAATCACCCGGAATCACCAGCCTCCGTTCCCCCGGGGACGTCGGGACGTCGGGACGTCGGGACCGCCTCACTGCCGGGGACTCCAGGGCTGTTTCGCCCCGCAAGCACTCTGCCGGGAATCGCGGGGCTCTGTGGCGCAGGCGGGGAGGGAAAAGGGGGAGGGGAGGCTTCTCCGCCTTTTGCTTATTTTCCAGAGCCGTGTGCACTGAGCGCCCCTCCCCTCTCCCCTTGCATGTGCGCTTTTTCCACGTGTTTCTTTGCCTCCCCGGCCGCCGCGCTGTGCCCCCCCTCCCCCTCCCCCTCCCAATCGCGTCCCCGCCGCCCTTAGTGGAGGGCCCTCGCCGGAGCTGCTCCTCTCATCCCCTCTTTTCCTATCCTCCACTTATCATCCTTTTTCTCTGTCTCTCTCACACACCTGCCTTTTCCCGCCGGGATGCCGCCGCGCCGCCGCCTCTCCAAGCCGTTGCGCCCCTCCCCTCCCCGCTGAATATTTAACCGAGTGGCGCCCCGTTGTTTTAAGAGGGTATCTCGTCGGCGACGTCATCGATTGCCGAAATGCAGTCGGGCTGGCCGTGCCGTGCCGTGCCGTGCCGTGCCGTGCCGTGCCGTGCCGTGCCGCGCCGTGCCGCGCCGCCTTCTCGAGTGCCTTGCGGCCGCTGGCCGCCCCGGGTGGCGCTAAGCCCCCAGCGGACGGATTCCGAGAGTCGTTTTCGTCGCCCCGTCTCTCTCGCACCCACACGGGGCGCCCCGTGAGTGCGAGAGAGACGGGGCGAGTCTGGTTGAGGTGGGCAGGCGTTATCTCGGGCTGGCAGTGACGACAATGCCGACGGCCTGCCGACGACGACTCTCGGTGCGCCGTAACGCTGTAACTGCCGTAACCCGGCCCTTGCCCGCGGCACTGTGGGCCTCGTCGCGCGGCGGCGGTGTGGCCCGGCCCGGCGGCAGTCAAGGTGCCGAGTGCAGCGGAGTGCGGACGGACACGAGTTATGCGCTTCGCTTCGACCCCTCGCCCTTCCATATCGATTATTTCCGCGGCAGAAATAACCAAGTGGCCACAACAAACAACAACAACAACAACAAGTAACGGCTTGCGTCCTTGGCGGGGCGAGTAGTAATTTTCTCTCTGCCTCTCTTCTGTTGCCAGGGCACTCTGCGCGCGCCCGAGCCATGGCATGAAGGGCTGCACCCTCTCGGTGAGTAGCGGCGGAAGATTGAGTACCCTGATGTGTTAAATATGGAAGGGCGCGCCGAGCTCTCAGCCGGCGCTCGGGCCCTTTCCTCGCTCGGCAGGGCCGGGCCACGCCGGGCCCGGATCCCGGATTGGCTGACAACAAGAGAATGGCTGTGCGCTGCTCGGCGCTGCTTCGCGGGACGGGTCTCCCTGTCCGTGTCGCCGTGGCTGGCCGTGGCGTGCGTGTTCGTGGAACCTGTTGACCCCCCCCCCCCCCCCCCATTCCGGTGGCCCCGCGGCCCTTCCGACCTTTTCTTTCGGCCGGAATCAATCTTTGAGCAGCTGCCAAAGGCTCTCCGCCCCGCTCTGTCCGAAAGTGTTCGTCCCGGCCACAACTGTGAACTCTGGCATTACAGAAATGTTCGCAGTCATGGTTTGATCGTTCTGTGGAGATAATTCTTTTCCCGTTTTTGCGTTGGGGTGTCTCTTTGTTTAAAGCCCAAGTCAAGACGTAATTAGGTTTACGTACTCTGCTGAATGGGCAGCACGTGCACATCCCCCCCTTTTTCCCGACCCTGCGACGGACAAACTCTCTGTATAAATCGAACCATTTTCATTTCCCCTCTTTTATTTCTCGTTCTGAAAAGGGACGGCGAAATGTTCATCTCTTTTGGCCCAGGGCTGTGGGCTGTGACGCGGTGGGGTTGTTGAGATGAAATGAACGTGAGAGAGATAGAGCGTCCCCGCGTCCGCGAGGCCTACCAGGCCCACTAGACCCACTAGGCCGCGAGCATCGCGAGGGTCCTTCCTTCCCCCCACTCCACTGCACGTTCGCCGCTGTGTTCTACCAACCGTCGACGGAAAGAACTGACCCGTCGCCATACTCCGCGCGCGAGGGACTCCAACCTCAGGGGACACTCACTTGGTCGCGTCGCGAAAGAAATGATCCCAGCGGAACGCGCCGCGCCAGACGGACTCTTAATGCTCGCCATGTGGAGGGCGGCTTGCCGTTATCCTGCAACTGATGGGGCGAACTACGCGAGTGTGGGTCCCTCTTTTTGTCGTCGGGGAATCAGAGAATTGCCGCCGCTTGTTGCGTGAAATACGTAACTACTGCCACGTTTTCTGGCTATTGACCAAGCCACCGTTATGTGTGTCAATACGCGGAGTTGGTTTACCGTTTTTCGCTGCTTGCGTTTTTAAACGAACGAACCGGCAGGGCGTGGCAGGGCGTGGCAGGGCGTGGCAGGGCGTGGCAGGGCAGGGCAGGGCACTGTAGGGCACAGTGTGCTGCTGCAATTTGTGCAGCCTCCTCTCCAGGCTGCAGTGTCAGCATGCGCCTTCAGCGCCAGCCCTTGGCCATGTCACCACGGCCACTCCCCCTCCCCCCCTCTCCTTTTCGGCTCCACCGGCTCCACCGCCCCGGTCACGTCCCTGGAGGTCCCCGGCTATGCGGCACAGGGCAGCCAGCGGTCAGCAGGCCGGGCCCGCCGGGCCTTGCAGCCGCCTTCACTTTAGTAAGGACGACCTTGTCTCGTTTTGCAGTGCAGGCGAGCATGTGTCGGGCCCGAAGCGGCATACGATCATGTGTGGTCTAGCCCTTAATGGCAATGGCGCGGTAGGCAACCGTCGTCCCTTCGACGCAGCGGTGCCGCCGGATTGCCTACCTCGCAGGCGCTCTCGTCGCGCCGCCGTCGCCAGGCTGCGTCACGGGGCCGGCCGTGTGGGCGTGCGGGGCCAGTCGGGCGACTCGCTCTGCCTCTCTCGCACCCCCATGGCTCACTGCGAAGAGTGCGAGGGAGAGACAGAGTGCGGAGCGAGGAGGGCGGGCGGTGGAATCGCTCGTCAGCCCCACCAACCCCACCGCTCGGACCCCACCCTGGCCCGCTGGCCCGCTGGCCCGCCCCCACCCTACCGCACTCGGAAACCTGGGGCGCTCGCCGCTCGCCGGCGGCGACCCCCCGTCGTGAACCCTCCCCCCCCCTCCCGGCCTGCCTCTCTCTTTCCACCCCCGTCGCGCGCCGCCCCTTTATCACTCCCTCTGCGATATAATGAATTCCCGAAGGGAGCGGAGGCCTCTGAAGGCAGATTAAACCGGCCTAAACCCTTGCGGTGTGTAAGCGTCTTTTGTAAGCCCCTCCCCGCCGCCGCGCGCGCTGTTGTTGCTATTGTTGTTGTCATTGTTTATGAGTTGTTGTTGTTTTTGTTGCAGGCATGGGCGCCACTGGGCGTTTGCCGGGCCTGGGCGAGCCGGGCCGAGACGTAGGCCGAGCCCCTGCCGGCTGTAGCTGGGTGAGTTTCCCGGAGTGCGCGCGGTGACGCGGTACCGGCACGGAAGCCAGGCATGTCCGTCCGTCTCACCATTTCGCTCTTGATTCTTTTCTAGGGCAAGACCCACTGCCGGCGTGCCGGGGCCAGGGCCGCCAGGGCGCCCTAGCGGCCGAGCCGTGCGGCCGAGCCGTCTGCCGGCTGCTCAATGCGGGGTGAGTGTCGCGGCCCGGCCGACCACCCCGGCCTCACACGCGTACAACTCGCAGATTAAGATCGAATGCTTTAAAAGCGGGCGGCGAGCTCACTTGTGTATTTTTACTTTCTTATTTTTTTCCTTTTATTGCTCCTCTGCTCGCAGTGGCCCGGGCGGTGGTGGGTCGGCGGCGCTACGCCGGCTACGCTGCCGGCTCGTGGCTGCGCACGCTGCTGCTGCTGTTCGTGGTGTCGTTCGTGTGGCTGCAGCTGCACCTGGCCGGCCTGGGGCTCGGCTTCAACGGGCGCGGCTGGCGCTCCAACGGCCAGGACGGCAGCGAGGCCAACGACTCGGCCGCCATCCTGGCCATGGTGCCGCAGGTACGTCGCGTGCGCGGTGCGTGCGTGGTGCGCGGTGCGCCCGCTGACCCGCCGCCAGTCGCGGACGCGCTGACGCGCCTGCCTCTCGTTCCAGGTGCTGCACAAGTACCTGATGGCCAGGCCCCGCAACCAGACGCAGGCGGGGCCCGGAGGGGCTGCCGGGGCGTGGCCGCCCGCTCCGGGGAACGACAGCGTGCAGCGCTCGTTCGCCTCGCCGGGGGCGGGGGCGGGGTCCGGAGGGGCGGCCCGGGGGCCGGGCGGGCCGTAGGGGGCCCGCTCGACCTGGAGGCCATGAAGGCCAGCATCGCGCGCTACAACGAGGAGCAGCGCGTCCTCAACGAGGACGTCTTCGGACCGCTGCAGCCCGACTCCCTCATCGTCGTCATCCAGGTCCGGCAGTCATTTTCGTTTCATATAAAACTAACAGTTTTCGGACTTTTATTTTAACGTTTTGATCATTTTCTTGTGTAGGTGCACACGCGACTCATCTACCTGCGGCACTTGATCGTGAGCCTGGCGCAGGCCAAGGACATCGACTCGGTGCTGCTCGTCTTCAGCCACGACCACTACGACCCGGAGATCAACGAACTGGTGCAGGCCGTGGACTTCTGCAAGGTCATGCAGATCTTCTACCCGTTCTCCATTCAGACGCACCCCCACAGCTTCCCCGGGGAAAGCCCCGACGACTGTCCCCGCGATATCAAAAAGGAAGAGTGAGTGTCTTTGGACAACCTGGGAGGGCTTTGAACCGAGATTGGCTTTTCATACACTGATGTTCACTGATTGCGATATTGTCTCAATGTTTCAGGGCACTTATTCGGCAGTGCACCAACATGAATCACCCAGACCTTTACGGCCACTACCGAGAGGCGAAGTTCACACAAACCAAGCACCACTGGTGGTGGAAAGCCAACCGTGTCTTTGAACAGCTAGAAGTCACAAGGAATCACACTGGTAAGCAGCAAAGCCAATCTAATTAAACTGTCATTTGTTTTTTTATTTTTGTGAAGCAAATTAATGTTATCAAATGAAAAAAAAAATATCTTTGTCAAACTGCTCTTGATCAAGTAATTTTAATTGAACTATTGATTTAAAAAATTGCAGGACTGGTTCTTTTTTTGGAGGAGGATCACTTTGTTGCTGAAGACTTCATCCATGTACTCAGATTGATGCAGAAAACCTGCCAAACAAACTGCCCTCATTGCAACATTCTCTCCCTCGGCACTTACCTCAAGACCTATAATTATTATGGCGGGGATTCTAAAAAGGTACAGTAACTTCCTGCCCATATGCCGGACAGAGAGTGGACTACACCCATGTCTGATACTATTTTGCATCAAATAATGCCTTTTAAAACACTGACACAGTCATCAGACTGCATTTTGAGTGTTTGCTGTGTGCTTTCCTTCCATGTCAGCTTTAACACCTTGATTGTCATTGTGTTGGAACCCCTTACACCTTCCTCTCCTGAGTGCACTATTTCTGTTCTTTCGTCCTGTTTCATTTGCTCTGTTTGGTACAACTCACCCCTTGAACTGGATCACTGCCCTCAACTTACTTGCATGAGGAAAACACTGGTTGTGGTGTACAGCTCTCAGTTTTTAATCCATTCATTGTACTTTGAGCACTAAATGAGAGAGATGCACTGAAAGAGTCTATATACAGAGACTGAAATGGCTACTATGCCTGCCACAGTCCCAGCCAGTTAATTGTCATAACTTTCTGGAAATCTAGACTGTCAAATGCCATGCAAAATGTTTTGTGGCACTATTTCAGCTGTCACTACTAGAAATATTTTTTTTTTGGTAGAAGTTATAATATGATTATTGGTATGGCACTGGTGTCTGCAGGAGATGCTACGTGCCATGAAACGCCATCAGGGTGTTTCAGCAGATTCAATAGCTCCCTCCTGGAACTTCCAGATTCTACCTTCTCTCTATCAACATTATCAAAAGGTAGCCAAGTTTCCTCTGACCTGCATGTTATGGAGATTACTAGTGACATGAAATTACGAACACATAGAACTGTTTGGAAAAACACTTCTTATGTGTACCAAATTATTTCATGTTGATTGGCATGTGGTAGTTTTTCCTTTATGCCTGTAGTTCATACCTTTTCCTTTGGGTTTCGTATTTCAAGAAACTTTGATTTTCAAGAGAAAATATGTATGCTTTTACTGATTACAATTTTGAATTTTAGTTTTGTTTTATTGATTGTACATTAAGTTATGATACTCATGGATTATAGTGCATTAGGATTTCTACAATCGGTTTGGGTGGATTTGTACATTGCTTTTTGGATTTACACTTGTGCTTATTGTGTTTTTTGATGTCATCGGGAATTAAGATGCTTTCACATTTCTTGATCATGTTGCTTGCATCAATTTAACACAGTTGAAATTGTTTTGGTCGGCTGCGCTGATGTTGTACCTTGGGCAATTTTTCTTGCCTAATAACAATGTTATTGCCTGGTTTTTCTGCTGTAATTAGCTTGAATCGACTGTTGATGTGTGGGTTCCTTCTCAGATCATGGTGAAATAAATGTCTTTCCTTTTTTTCTTGTACATACAGTTCACTTCAATTAAGATACGTACTTTTAGAAATGCTTAATTTAATCTATATATAGAATGACACACAGGTCTGATGAGCCTGATGTATTTGTTAATAATAGTACTTTACTTTGCATGATTCTGATCTCATGGTCCTATCTTCTTTAAGGCTGAGGTGACACCATGGATAAGCAGTAAGCACAACATGGGCATGGCCTTCAACCGCTCCGTTTGGACAGACATTCGTGCCTGTTCCCAGTATTTCTGCTCATATGATGATTACAACTGGGATTGGAGCTTGCAGCACATCAGTCAAAACTGCCTTCCACATCGATTACATGCCATGGTCATGAAGGGGCCACGTGTGTTCCACATTGGTGAATGGTAAGATCTTTAAATGTGTGCCTGGTTTTTTTTTTCTACCATTACATTGCAAACTATAACTTTATTTCTATTTCCTGTTTCAGTGGGGTTCATCACAAGAAGACCAACTGTGAATCAACAGCGGTTATATCAAAAGTTCAGAAAGTTATTCTTGCTGCAAGTAGACACCTCTACCCTTCACATTTAACTCTTACTGTAACCAACACACTCAAGAAAACAAAACTCCGGAAAGGAAATGGTGGTTGGGGTGATGTACGAGACCATCAGCTTTGCCTTAATATTTCAACCACTACCAGATAGCACTCAAGACTTGTGTTGCTTCAAAAGGATATGAAATTTGTTGGTTGTCTATCATTTGCACTCATACTTTTGGCTTGAACTTCAATTATTTCTGATAATAAGTTTCCATTACCTGTCCTCATTGTTTGAAAATTGAGGCACTGGCACTACATTCTCATAATTTTCCCCCACCATTATTGTTTACCAAAGAATAGTTTTATGTCAAATATGCTGTGAAATATTGAAGTTTCTTTCTTTCAAAGTCATAACTTTTAGCCTTTTTTTTCTCCAACTCAAAGTTAATACATTTTACTCTATTCTAAATTTTGTTATGGGCCCGCTGAAAAATGTGAATAATCGTGAATAATGTTTTGTAAGGATTATTCAATCCAGATGTGAGGTGTGCAGCAGTATTTGCTAACTTGGTGCAATTGAACACATTCCATGTTAACAATTGGCACTTCTACTGATCTCGTGATTGATGCAATCCCCCTCTCCCTCCAGTCAGTTTGACGAACATTTATAAAGAGAACTTTGTGCTCCTGCTAGACACTCAACAGAGATAGTGTGTGTGCTGGTCTAATTTGTGAACTTTGTGTCTGTGTTTGTGTACTTACTAATTTCAGTAATCTAAGATATGTGATTTAATGGAGAAGTAATGGTACATGCTTGGACTCATGCAGATGACTCCTTGGTTTGATGGGTGGTTCTAATGTAATCATTAGTACAATTATCTTTGGAATGCAGAGTTTTAAATTCTAGTCCTTACTCTTTCCTCCTATCTTGTATTGTCTTTGATGAGTCCCTTTGTGGTGTAAGAAAGAAGCAAGAAAGAGAGAATCAATAATTCTAGGTCATGGGTGATTTCGGTTAACGTCCATTATGAAGTACGTACCTTTGCTTTGTTCTGTTGTTTCTTAACTTGCTTGCTCTGTTTTTTTTCATGTTATTGTTTGATTTTTTTTTGTTGAAAAAGAGTGTTGCTCATTGATTTATTTGTGATAAATTCACTCCATTTGACTGTCAAGTTTTGCATTCCTTGCATTGATGGAGTATAAACTTTAAAAATGATAGTATATCATCCACTGTACATTGTAGGTAGAACTCTTGTACATACTGTAATTATTTTTAAGGCTCTTTTAGGAATTCTTTTTAGGAGTGTGCTGTGATTCTTTGCTGTACCGTGGTGCTGTTACTTCTTTCCTCATAAAGTTTTATGCTTCTTTTGTAGGCTGCTTTAACAATCCTGGTTAAGACAGTGACTTGATAGAGTTATTCCTAAATATACTATTTTATTAAAATATTTGTACTGACACTGATGGATATTGCTTTCTTAGTGTAGTCGCTATCATTGCTCTTGTATCAACGATTACCGGTATATAGTGTTTAAAAAATGAAACTTATTGATTGCCCTCCTTCAGGAATGATGTTGTTAAAGTTTGTTGCTGGCATTTGCATTTGTTGATTCAGGCTGAGCTTGCACCCAACTCTTTTGTTGCCTCCTGAGAATTAGGATATTACTTTGCTGCATCTGCTTTGTTTTTGTTCTTTCTTTATTTTTGTTTTGTTGTGTACTTACATATTGAAAAACAATAATCTTTGGTGTAACTTTTAAGTGCTGGGACAAGCAGAGGTCAAGGCCATGATGCCCACTTAATAAGACTTTCAACGCTTGTTCCAAGCTCTGTACATCTCTTAAATCTAAGTCATGTGGAACTGAAAACTTTAAAAAGCAAAATATTGATGGATATACTTAAGCATTCTTTGAAAGTTGATTACTTTTCTGGTATGCCCATGTTTATGAGTTCTATTCATATCTAGTCAAACATAGATTTAATTTAGGGAACAATGCATCTATTTTCTTTGTTAGCTCTTTTTGTTTTTACCTAGTTGATTTATGCAGTAATTGCTGGTTCTTTACGTATGAAGTGTTCTGCAGTCTGAAGATAATCAGCCCTACTTGCAGGTGTATGTTCTGAAATACAATGCAATCATTTTGAATAAAGAAATTATCTTCACATTGTTTCTTCTTCCCTGAGCAAGCCTATGCTTGCAAGTACTATCCCAGAAATGGAAATAATCAAAAGAATACGAATGGTGAGGTTTATGTTTAATTCAGTATGCTGTCTACAGCTAGCAACAATTTACAAACTAAACATTTAATAACCCGCTCAAAGAAGTATAACATTGAGATACCAAATCGTTTCAAAATATTCAAACAATTAAGATGTTTACAGCAAATAATTTCCAACAGTTACATATCAAATATGATTTAAAATATCAATGCTTAACAAAAATAATGACATATTTTGTGATGATATGTATGATGAAGATGAACACTCCAAGGCGATTCCTACTTTGTTTCTGTTGGAGGCTCTCATTTGACGTTCTAAAATTTTGATCTGAGATGCTGTCTCAAAGGTTTGAAGAAGCTTCACATTTCTTTAGGGGATGTGTCCACCAAATTTCTAACACCCGGTAAACGACTCAGAATGGGTCAACAGGCTGAGAAGCAGAAATATTATCAAAATCTGAATGTACAATTTTCCTAAAGGTTTTTCGTCAATGCACTGCTTTAAGAAGCTTTCTCCTATACATATGATACACATGATAATCCACAAGATAACAGATTTTAACTGTGGCGAAAACCACAATTTTTAAATATACTAACATGTTCATGAGGAAGTTTAAAGAATTCACATTTTACATTTACATGTTTCTTTAAATATAATTAGTTCTATTCTATTTGTGAACACAAGTTCTTTATTTTTTAAACCAAAAGAGGAGAGTATTTCATTGACTCTCGTCCCTATCTTAACTTAAAAGTTGCCACTACCACATCAAAATCAAGCATTGCACATGCTGATTGTGCTTATATGTAACAGTTGAAGAAGAATTCGCAAAAATTGGGTAACATCTAAAGCCTGCTGGAAAAGGACTAATGCTTTCATTCCACCCTCATCTTACCCATTTTGTTATAGAAATGCAATAAATAATAGTTTCCAAAAGGACATTTTTAAGATTTGTGTCCGCATGAAGGAAACTGGAGTGTTTGTAGATCCAACATATGTTTTCAAAATAACATTTTCACAAAAGCACACACAATAGAAAAGAGATTTTCGATGAGAAAGGGATTCATGCGATATGGTCCTGCGGATGTAATGGATCATACATTTCATCTAATTTCACTCAAAGGTTGCATTTTCCATTGAAAAAGAAGCTTATGTACAAAGCCAGAGAAATGATCTGAAATGCCTCTTTTGCCAGGAATTTCATAAATCTGTGTCATAGAGCATATAAAAAGCCTTTAAGTATCTAATAACAAATTCTTTAACACTCCTTCAAAAATTAATGAGCATGTAACTTACAGCATATGTACATGCACACTTCACTGTACAACCATAAAGATACATTTATGGAATGCCATGCCTACTGTAAACATGGAAAAAACAAGGAGAAAATTAAGAGTATACTATATGAATCTCCCATAACTTAAAAAGAAAATATCATCATTATGGTAACTGTGTACTCCAACAAATACTGCACAGGTAATCAATAATCAATATCTAGGGGAAACATAATATAAATTTCAAAAGAAACACATTGCCTATAGCAAAATAAATAAATCAAAAAAATATAAGCATCCACACAACAAAAAGACATCACAGGTGCGATTTTGGGAAGTTCACAAATAATGGCACATTATGAAGTTAGCCTACTTGATCTTTAGTCATACATTAAGTACTCTTCACAAATATCAGTTCGTACAATTTTAGAATCAAAGAAATTGCCACAGAAGGAATGTTGTTGTACAGGAATGGATCATTTTTCAACAAGCCTCATGAATCTGCATATTTTAGTCTTTTCTTCAAAAGACAAATATCTTGTACGGTTTAAATAAAACTCAAAGCGTAGTTTCTCTCCTCAAGTTGTTTAGTTTTTAGTGGGCATTTGATGAAGCTTGTATAGTCAGTGAAATATATCTAGTGATTGCTGTACAATACAAGAAGTGGGGGCTGAAAACAATCTTGAATTTCTTACAATACTTGAGTCTTATTCCTGTGCGTGATGACCCATCGTTCCCTTGTGAATGCCCTTGCTCACCCATTAATTTGTTCAACTCAAAACAGCTAACACTTATGAGCTTTTTGTCAATAGCGGCATCATACAAGTTTTCATGAATACCATCAGTAATGTTTTGAGCAGGAGAGTAAAACATGTCTTTCTTAATGGCCAATACTTGAATACTTGCACACATTGCGTTCATTTCCTAAAAATCTCTTGACTAATATTATTTGAGTATAAGTGTGGAATTGTTGACTAGCATTCAAAACGTACCTTTCAAATAGTCGTATATCACTGAAAATGATTGTTAAAAAGAGTACAATATTTTTTGACCCCGATGGAGAGGGCAGTAATGGAAAGAACAAAATGTCTCCAAATAAAGAAAGTCAATTCAGAAATACAAGGGTCAAAAGTGTACACAGTGTGAAGTTTTCACCAGGGGTAACCCTGTTGCTGTTGGGGAGGCTGCTGGGTATAAAGCTCTGTTGGTGCAGCCGGTCCCTGCTGATCGTATTCCTGAAACAATATGAATGAAACATCAGGATCTTTTGCTTTTGGTTTTCCTTTTTCACTGTTTGCACAATGTGATGTTGTACTGGAAAAAAATTATCCTGACGCCCAATAATCATGCATAAAGTAAATTTCTTCGCCAACCACATGCTTATGTTCAAAACATTTTGTAAAATATATGTGGACAGAAGTTAGTTTATAGCAGCAAACACAGATTTCAATCATGCAATTTTGAGTGGACAGACATCAGGTATTGAAGATGATGTGCTGAAGCATTTCATGCCTATCAGAAAAAAAAATTGTAAACAGATTGCAGTGCGCCACCAGAATAGAAGACGACATCTTACTCAGTGCGCATCTTAACATGACACTTTTGGTGCATTTTACTGAATTCATAAGCTGACACAGATGCTATTGAGGGAAAAAGATAGTATGATAGGGAAGGGAAGACGGAGGGAAGAAGAGACATAGACAGAGAGACAAAGCGCACACCAAACAAATATATTGGTTCATCACAAAACTCACATAGAACCGCTATCTGCGTCTAAATCACTAAAATGGAGACATATTGCCAAAATCAGTTCATTTAAGTCTTGAGATTATTTTTTAAAAATTGACTTCAGAAATTTTAAAATGGCTCACCTGGGTGTAGTTGTACCCTGCTCCATTGCCATAAGCAAAGCCCTGTTGGTTGTTGTTATCCGCGCGGAATGGATTTGTGGCAGCTGGAGGCAGAAAAAGACGCTCCTCTGTATCGACTGAATGTGATCAACACGAGGGAGGAATTGGGGGAGGGGGGAGGGGTGGCGGAGAGAGGGTCACTAGGGAAAGGACAAGGACTTACCTCCGCCTGCGCCGGGGATGTCCAGGTTGCCGCCGGCCGAAGTCTGGTACGTGGCGCCGTAGCCCTCGTTGGCCTGCTGCTGCGCCAGCTCGTGCAGCCGCGACGAGGACAAGGCCCTGGGGATGGGGTTGCTGGGCACGCCGTGCGGCGCCAGGTGCGCCGTCTCCTCGGCCACCTGGTGGGGGTCCTCCGTCTGGGGCAGGTCCGACACGAAGCCCTGGTCCTTGCGGTAGAAGTTGATGAACACGAAGCCGGCCAGCACGAACGCGCAGCACACGCCGTAGCTCCGGAAGGTGGCAGTGGTCCCTGCACAAGCGGCAAGCGTGAGTGTTGTGAAGAGCAGGGCTCCGAACTGGGGTGGAAGAGCAAACGACAAAAGGGGAGGAGGGAAGTACCAGATGCGGAAAGGGGGAGAGAGAGGGTGAGAGACAAAACGGCCCACTTTGTCCCTGTAAGTAGGCAACTTTTGCGACACCCACCCCTTAACTCGTCTCTGGATCCCTGATCCCCGGGGAGCAGGCTTACCGAAAGAGGTGACGAGCATGCCGCCGAGGACGGCGCCGCAGCCGCGGCCGAGGCCGTGGTGGATGCCCTGCAGCACGCCCTGCGACGAGGCGCGCATGTCCGGCGGCGTGTTGTGGGCGATGTAGGAGCAGCACGCGGCCCACACCGCGGCGTGCGTGATGCCTGCGGCCCGAGGGTTTAGTTAGCTTTGGTTCAGTTAGCTTCACGTCGCGTCCACGAGCACCAAGCACCTGCTGCCGCTACTCACCCTGCATGAACTCGAACGGCAGCACCCACCACGGGTTCCTCAGCCAGGAGATGTACAGGAAGCGCAGGATGTTGCCCACCAGGCCCAGGCACAGCACCTTCACGTGGCCCATCTGCTTGATGAGGCGGAAGCTGAAGAAGTAGGCGAAGATCTCGGAGATGTGGTTGATGACGGAGGCGACGCCGAAGAGGGTGGGCGACCCGCCGTAGTCCTGCAAGACGGGGGCACAGTGTTAGAGGGTTCCCACCAAGGCCCTGCTGTGTGGCCAGGGCACCGCTTTACCTGGAGGTGCCAGAAGAGGAAGGTGAAGATGAGCCCGATGCCGAAGCCCATGAACCAGGCGACGAACAGGAACGAGGCGCACTTGAGGTTCTTGAAGTGCGACAGCACGGTCACCCACTCGGGGATCTCGCGGTTCGTCTGGGCGAACACCTTGGTCTGCAACGAGGTCGGAAAGAATCGGATCAGTCCAGAGTCTGCAGACGCGGCACTCCAACGGCGTCCGCGAGACGCACCTTGCCGACGTTCGGCTCCTTGGCCTGGCCGGCGCCCGAGGTGTCCGCCAGCGAGGGCAGGTTGAGCTGCTGGGCGAGCTGTTGCTGCAGGTACTCCTCCCGCGTCGGCTCCTGGGGCGGCTTGGCCTGCTCCACCACGGGCTGCTCGCTGTGCGACTCGTACTTGAAGTTGATCTGCGTGGCCACGATCAGCGCCGCGCCCATCAGCACCTGCAGGCCGCAAACGGAAAGGTTAAACACGCTCTGTTTAGATAGCGTTTTGTGTGATGTATGTGACAGTGGCGTGCGCGGTGGGGGTCATGGCCCGGGAGGTAGGCAAACTGCAATACATTCCGCATGAAGGTAGGCGCCGAGAAGCCTGCGTCACAGCGGCGTGTTTCGGCTCCTTTTTGCCTACCTTAATTCGTTTCTGGCAACACTGACGCCCCCTTTCATTTCTTCAACGCGTGAGCGCCGAAACTTACCGAGAAGGTCGCAAAGCAGATGGTGTAGTTCTTCTCGCGCTCCTGGGGGCCGCAGGGGTGGTCCGGGAAGGCAGTGGAGTGGTCCAGGGCGATGCCCACGAAGAACATGGCCAGCCCCCAGCCCAGCGAGCCGAACATGCGCTGGTGGCCGTAGTGGTCCGCGTCCTCGCCCAGGATCGTGATGACGGCCGAGTCGGCCAGCGTGATGGCGGGGGCGGCGAAGAACTCGCCGATCACCACCAGGAGCATGAGCAGGAAGAACGCCTTCTGGATGTCCTGTACAGCAATGCAAGCCGTGAGCGTGAGGTGAGTTCAACAGCTACGCGTCACTCCCCTACCCCCTCTCTCGATCCACTCGTCTTCACTCTCCACCCCTCCCGCCTTCCCCTCTCCTCCCTCTCGCCGCAGGACTTCGCGCGCCTCGGGCCTGCCGCGCCGCGCCGCCGTCGCTTGTTCAGACTTGCGAGTTTGAAACGATTTCGCTCGCGCCGCGCCGTCGTTACAGTATCGTGACATGTACGCGTCTCGTGCTGTGCTGGTTCGCGGTTCTGACCGAAATCGTGAGTGCTGCGTTGTTTCTCGAGAGCAAGACCACCGACCGCCACGACGACATGAGGCACCAGCCGGGCCGGCGCCAGCCGGCTGATGTGTTAAGGTAGAGGTTATGGCTTAACTCGCTCAACTCATATGTCTTAGAATGTCACTGGAACGTTGTTACTCGTCCAAAGGCTGTGCCTTCTGTTCACCATGCACAGTCCCATGTGCATTGGGTTTGCAACGGGGGCTCTGCTTTGCCAGAACCAGTACATGCCGTTAAGAGAATGACGCCCGCGTGACGCAACCCGCGCGATCGCACCGTCGTACTTACCGAGACCTTGTAGACGAGCGAGCTGTACCGCGGCGTGACCCAGTTCTTGTTGAGCTTGGGGTCGTAGTTGGAGGCGAAGGCGACGTCGTGGGGCGAGGTGCCGGCGCTGTAGTAGGGCATGGCGGCGCGCGCCACCCGCGCCGAGCGGTCCAGGCCGAAGCGCTGCGCCGGCGACATGGTTTCCTCGTCCTGCACCGACCGGCAGGGGAGACAGGTAAGTGAGCGGCAGGGAGAAACCAGGTAGGTACAGTGGATTCGGATGACACTTACCGCCTCCTCCAGCAGGAACAGCGACAGGGGCGCCTCGCGCTTGAGCATGCGGTTGAGCTCGGGCGTCTGCAGCACCCAGTCGGTGGCGTTCTTGTGCTTGATGCAGGACGTGACGGGGGGCTGGATGAAGCCCAGGGGCAGCGTGAAGATGATCCAGCACGACAGCGAGCACAGCAGCAGCAGCTTGCCCTTCTGCCACCTGCGGACCGAGGGAACGGAGCCGAGGGTGAGTTGCGTTTCCTGGCGACGGGGCCCAGTTCAGCCAGTGCAGGCCGCCGGGCCGCGGCATGCCGAACGTCCTGCCGAACGTCCAATCGATGGAGTGTGTCCTTACGACGCCGCGACGCCCGCAGAGCGCTCAGAGAGTGCTGCAGGGCTCGCCCCAATGCCTCTCGCTTCCGGAGCCCGCGCTCCACGCTCGGCGCCGAAGGGGTGACCGCGTGTTCGGAAATTAGATTGAATAGAAGTGAGGAATGGTTTGAGACACTGTCATGGTTCGGTTCTTGGTGAGACTGTCGCCTCATCCGCGGCGCGTCTGGTGGCCCTCTCCCTGTCGACCCCATGCCGGCGGGGCGGGCGTGCCGCGGTCTGCCCACCGTGGCCCTCCACGTTCGGAGCGTGAATGAACGTGAAAGTTTTGTAGTATTGATTTTCTGGGCAACGTGCGGCCGAGACGCGCGCCCCTCCACCCCCGCCCGAGCCTACGCCCCCTGCCCCTCCCCCCGCCCCGCCGCGCCACGGCCCCACTTAGGCCTGCACACTGGCAGACTGGCCAGCGGAGCGTGAGCGTGACGGAGCGTGGCCACCGGGTCAACGTGAATCACCGAGCCGCGGGACCGCGCCTCGGCGAGCGACCCCCAAATCTGAATACATAGAATCCGTTCCGAGGCTCAGACGGCACGGCACGGCACGGCACGGCACGCCAGGCCACGCCACGCTGCGGCGCGAATCGCGAATGGCGTCGCGGGCATCGGACAGGGCCTCCCCCTCCCTTGCCGATCCCACTAACCCACTCCTGCTGCTCCGCCCGCTCCGCACGGCTCCACAGGGATCACGTGGGCAGCGACTGTGTTGCTACCCCTTCCGCGCTAAATACCCATGGTGCTTCCTCTTGGCGCCACTTCCCCGGAACCGTTTCCTTCCAGCCTTGGCCGTGGCGAAGCAGGCCTTCGCCCTGCCTGGCGTTTCGGCTGGAGCCGACCGCCTCCATTCGAATGCATTCGCCACAGCGCGAGCAACGGTCAGAGTTCACCCCCTTCCCCTGTCCTTCAGGAATAGGCCCTGTGCGCGAATCGGAACCAGTCGAAACTCAAGGGAACCAAAACGAAAGGCTTGCGAAACACACTACACACTTTGCTACGGCTCTCCCTGTCGATAGAAAAGGGTTTGCGGCTCACCGATCGGCGAGGGTGCCCCAGAAGGGCGCCGACAGGAACTCGACGAAGGGCCTGGAGCCGATGAGCAGCCCGCACTGGCCGGGGTTCATGCCCATCTGCTTGAAGTAGACGCCCATGAGCGGGAACAGCGAGCCGAAGGCGGCGTAGAAGAAGAAGTAGAAGGTCTTGACGATGAGCAGCTCTTGGTCCACCGTGCCGAACAGGTACTCCAGGACGTCATGGCGGCCGCGGATCTTGTGCGTGGCCTCCTTGGGCTGCGGGTACCGCGTCGGGTCCACCTCGCCCTCGGCCTCGGGGTCCACCATGGGCCTGGCGGTGCCGCCGGGGCCCACGCCGCCCACGCCCGTCCCCGCCATGCCCGTCATGGGCATCCCCTGCTGGTGCATGGCCCTGTACTCGTCCGCCATGACTGCCCGAGCCTGCCTGGGGGCCTGACTGCCTGCCTGCCTGCCTGGCGCCGCGACGGCACCGAGCCAAGCAGAGCGCGGAGCGGAGCGCGGAGCAGAGGGCGGATCGATGGCCGCGTGTGGCCTACTCGCAGGGGCGGCGGACGGGGCGCCGGCCCCCTGGATGCCGCCAGCGCGCCAGCGCCACCCCCCGGCCACGGCCACGGCCCGCTTGAGCCACCGCGCTGCTCGCGCTGCTTCCGTATCCCGTCCGGACATACCCCGCGCCTCCGGGGAATCCCGACGCGCCCCGGCGCAAGGGGTAGTTCCGGCGCTGGCTGCCGCGCCGTGGGGCATCTGCGAAACGCGAGCCCAGCCCAGCCTTTTGACGCCGTGTTCGTGGTGCGGTGCTCACTAGCTTATCTTTCTTTGAGCAGTGGGGTGTTGCTCAAGCCCTTGTGCATGTGAGCTCACACAATTTTAGCTCATTTGCGAATGTGTCGTGCGCGCTGCAACGCACCTTTGAGTGTCTGGGAAATGACTCTGAGCAACCCGTCTCGATACCCAGAGGAACTTGCAATCTCCTTGTGTACACACGGAGGGGCGCGCGGGTGGTGACATCATGGACATCAGTATGCGGGCGCGTAGTTGATTCTGCGAAAAAGCCCGTCCCCTCCCTCCACATTTGCAACGACATCACCAAGTCAGAAGGCACTCAGGGCGATGCCTGCGCTCTGTTGACACATACCTGCCCGGCGGGCGCGTTGCGCGTCGGGCGCCGCTGTCCAAACGTACTTGTTGCGCGGGGCAGGCCTGCCGAGGCGCCGTGGCGGCCTCCATGCCAGAGGGCCGGGGTGCCGGGGCCAGGAGGCGCTGGGGCTGGGGCCCGGCCGGTGGGGGCGTCGGACGGTGGCGTTCCCTGGCGGCGCCGCGTGGAGGCTGCCGCGGTCGCCGCGTCCGCACCTCGCCTAGTCCTCGGTGGACGCCACGCGGCGACGGTCGGCTCAAGACGACCGCGGGAACCGCGAGGACCGCGAGGACCACGCCGACGGGCAGAGCGTCGCGCACCGGCCACGCGGTCAGCGGCCACGCGGCCACGCGGCTCCGAGTCTCGAGGACCGCCGCGGCGATGTGAACCAGGACGTGCTTCGCCAGGAAGACGCGCACCACGACGGCCACCAGGACGCGCTCCAGGGGGTGCGGCGGGCCGTGGCCCCGCGTGGACTTGTTGATGGCGCGCGCCGCCTCGCCGGCCTCGGCGACGTGTTGAGGACAAGGTGTGTAGAGCAACGCGCGGTGCGCAGAGGCACCCGTTGCAGGACGCCCTCGTGGCGGTGGCGGCTTGCGAGCATGGCGCCGCCGCGTTGTGGAAACTGCCCTGTCCACTCGACTAGGTAGACCCCATGTTAAGGGACACGAGACAGTTAATGTGGCTTGACTGTGTATCCATTCTGCTAATTGCTACATAGAAATTTGACTTTCCATTTTTTTTTAGTTTTTCTCTTAGGGTGAGGGTGGGGGCATTTACCTACGTCTAATTCAGAGAAAAGAAGGACTCTCGTTTGATCAGAACTGCTGCGCGTTTGCTGCGGTTTGCAGTCCTGTTGTACTGGACTCGCGTCCCCGACAACCTATCAGTGCACAGCGCGTCCCAGTCGAAACCAAACGGCCGTCAGCGAGCGTCAGTGAGCGGCGGGTCCCATTGTGCCCAACTCGAACTCCGGCGCGAAGGTCGGTCTACCCGCTGGTCCGCGACTCTGGTGTCTGTTCCTACTCGTCTGTCGAGTTTGAGCTCGCATCCCTGCCCTTTGCTCTGATTGTCCGCCACTCTGCGGCTACGCTTCCCGTGAACATGGAGCGGTGGTTCGAGTGCCCGTGTTCAACCTCAACCCACTGGAACGGAACTATCATATCGTGGGGAGTATGCTGGCCAATGCCACGACTGGTGTAAGGGAGGTTTGAATCTTCTCAGGGACAACAGGTCATCAAAACAATCGCCATTTCAACGTCAATGTGGCCTAAAGTTCGACCGTAAATCAAAATATGGTAATTTTTTTACTGCCTGTTGGGCTCCACGCAGCAGAGCGAATCGCTTTCCAGGCGGAGAGGCTCTGGTTTGTCATTACGGTCTGGCAGCGCGGTCCATGCGCGGCCCATCCCCGCCAGCAATGACTGACTGCCATTGAGAGAGTGCCTATTTCTCCCCCCATTCAAAGCGCGGTGGCCGCGTAGCCGCGGTGTGGGAGTGCCGGGCACCGCCTAGCGCCGCGGTGCTGCTTTGAACCGCCCTCGCCCTGCAGGCCCTGTGGCTGCCTGCCTGCCTGGCTGGCTTCCCGGGTGCCGCTGCCCCGTGGCGTCCGATCGCGCACAGTGTTCGCGGCCAGCGCGGTCCGCGGTCCGCCAAATCGGCCCCGGCCCGGCACGGCGTGTTTGCGGCGTGGGTACGTGCAGCGCGCCCTGTACACCCTTACGCCACAGTGTGCCAGTTGGCCGCTCTGGTGGCCACCGAGGCGAGCGGGGCGAGGCCTGCGCTCCCGCCCTGCCTAGCGAGTCGGCCCGAGTTGCCCGCCGCCAGATCCCGGCGCAGATTCCCGCGCCGCGGCCAAGCAGCAGACTGATGCCGAGAGTCGCCTTCGCCGCTCTGTCTCCGTCGCACTCACGGGGCGTGCCGTAGGTGCGAGAGAGACGGCGATACTCTGGGAATCTCGCAGGCAGGGCGAGTAGCGCCCCAATCCCTTTGACACGGCCGAGACGCGCGTCTCCGGCTGAAGTTCCAGCAGGGTCCGCGGCGGTCCACGGTCCAGGGCGTGGACCTCCGCGTCTCCCTGCAGGAGCAGGCGCGCAGTAGACTGATTCGGAGAGTCGCCTTCTTCGCTCTGCCTCTCTCGCGGGACGCCCTATGAGTGCGAGAGAGACCCAGCGACCAAAACGACCCTCGGGATCAGTCTGCATGTCCAGAGGTCCGGCAGCAAGTGGCGCGGTGTCGAACGACGTCGCTGTCCCGGTGGTCGTGGTCGGGCTGCCGGGCTGTCGGGCTGTGGGGCTCGCCTTTCGCCCGGCGCGGCCTCGCCCTCGGCGCCAGCGCGCCTCGGCCTCGCATCGGCCGGCCTCGCAATCGCTCATATCCACTTACCGTACGGCGTGTCCGCCATGCGCCGCCATGTCACACCGTGTCACACCGTGTCACGCCGTGTCACGCCGTGTCACACCCTGTCACGCCGCGTCACGCCGTGATCGCCGCACCCCTTCCAGAGTGATCCGCTCACCTGGCCGCTCCGTCTTCCCTCCCGCCCCGCCGCTGCACCGTCCCCGGGGGCCGCGGGGGCCGCGGGGGGCGCTGGGGGCGCGCTGGGGGCGCACTCGGCCGGGGTGGCCGCGGAACTGCGGGAACCAGGACAGGCTTGTGTAGATGAGTGGCCCCGGAGATAGCGCTATCGGCCTCGTCGCGCATCACCCCGCCACCCCGCCGTCCCGAAGCGGCGCGGAAAAAAAAAAGTTTTCCGTTGAATTTACTGCGCGCCTTTCCGAGGTGGCCAGGCCAGGCGCGCTGCTAGCGGGGCGCCGCGACGCCCCGGACGCCGCGTATAACTCACAATATCCTTGACACATGCGCTCGCTGCCTCCTGCCAGTCTCCCTCGTCTCGCCGTATCTGGGCCGCTTCGATCTCACGGCAGCGCCACGGCGACGCGTTGCCTCTGCCCCGGTCGGGCCGGGTCGCCCGCCGTGTCCCGTTGGCCCCGATGCGAGCGCGCCGGGCGCGGTGATGCGACGCGACGCGACGAGTTTGCCGCGGACGCGTGGCATGCGTGGCGACAAGGCGCCTGACGGCCGCGGGGTAGGCAACCCGCGCGCAGCGCCGCGCGACGGGCCGGCCTGCCGCCGGGCGCTCGCCGCTCGCTCCGCACTTCGCTGTTTGTTGTTCTCCCTTCGGTCTCAGCGGCACCGCCCGGCCCGGGTTCAACTCCTAACAGTGCTCCCACGAGCTTTCCTTTTTTTGTCGGTGGTGCGGGTCGAGCAGCGCGGCACAGCGAGCGGTTCGGGAGTTGCGTCCCCTGTTGCGGGCTGTGCGCGAGCCCCCGAGCCCCCGAGCCCCGCGCGCCGATGCCCCTAAAATAAAAGCGGAAAGTGTTATAGGCACGTGCATTGTTAACGCGCTGCCGTTGTCACTTGCTTTTACGACGGCTTTTACCGGAGCCACGGCGTGGCGGGGCGTGGCGGGGCGTGGCGGGGCGTGGCGGGGCGTGGCGGGGCGTGGCGGGGCGTCGGGGCCGATGGGAGCCGATGGCAGTGGCAGCGCCTTGGCCTGCCCTGGCCCGCCTTGCCCGCACCACGCTATACATAGCGCCCAGATTGTAAAGGGGCGTGGATACATGTTTGTGTGCGCGCGCGCGTGTATGTGCATCATAAATGTGTGTGGCGCGTCTCTCTCTTTGGGACGGGCGTGCATGTTCAGCTGCGGGGGGGGGGGGGGGGGCGAAAAAAGAGCAGGCAGGGCTTACTTTTCCTTCCCCAACTTACCCCTTGAAATGCAGTTGAACTAAAACGTGCCTGCAAAATACTCGAGTTTGTATCAATCATGGATGCAAAAAAAAACACAACAAAAAATCGCGCCGATAGTTCGTTGCAAAAGCTAACCCCATTGCTCGAAAACAAGTGTTACACCTTTGGCGAAAAGAAAAAAAAAAACTTAATTAGTGATGTGTGCCTCTCAGGTTATATCACGGGTGCCTTTGAAATGGGATCTCTCTGGGGAAGCGAAAGCGTTGGCGGCTCGGCCGGTGCTGTTGAAGTTCCACTCCACCCCATTATGCCAAACGGGCAGCATCAGGTTTTTTGTTTACACAGTGTACACAGCGGCGGCGATGCATCCACCTGTTGTTGTTGCCGTTGCGTTGTCGTTTTTGTTGTTGCTGTTTACCGGGAGGCAGCGAATGGAAGTAGTGTTGTTTCAGTTGCCATGTCGTGGGGACGAAAATTGAAATGTCTGTTTGCGCTGTCATCACATCACCGCTCGCGTGCCTGGCTGGCTGCCCTG